AACGCTTATACGAGTCAGCTCGGCGTCTGGGTGACTGGTAGGGACGTGGTTTACAAGGACATTATCTATTTTTGACGGTGTTATTTTCCAAAAGTTGACACACTGGGATACTGGCTCGGTGAAGATTTATTGGCCTATTGAAGCGTTTTATCTCTGCACTCTGGCACAAATCTAATGGTGTATGAAATTGAATAACATTTCTCTGTGCTGCAGTCTAATATCTATCACGCCAAAAAATCAGAACATGACTTTGAAGATCTCAACCCCCCTTGAAATATATAGAGCTTACTGATGTCTGTGGGATAATTGTAGTTCATTAATTATGCAAGTAAGGTTTAACTAACATTACATATGTACATTGATCACTTCCCGTCACTCGCAATGAACGTGACTAGCATATGGAAAATGTAGAACTGTGAAAACACAGACAATGACCCAATGACCTAGAATGTCTGAAATACTGGTTATAATGAAGGAAAGTTTTGTACCATGCATCGTGGAACTTAATAGGAATGTGGATGAGACCAAGGAGGTTAAATACTTGTATTTAACCTCCTTGATGAGACTGGTTGTTTCAACTTTTGTCAAAACATTTGCAGTAGGGTTACGCAGATATTCGTATGTAGGAAACTCGCATATGTAACATGCAGGTTATACTGGGTCAACACGAACCACAACTGCCATCTCCGATTTCCATATTCTTCCGGTTGAAATGGCAAAAGTTGATGGTTAAAATCGATGGGATTTTGCCAATCAGGAAGTAGATGACATGACATGTCCCATCAGGGAGGACTGATTGGCGTCCCCTGCGTGCTATTTCCGGAAGTGCATATATCCGGATCCGGAGAACAAAATACAAACAGGACAAGTCGAAAAAGTCATATTTCATTTCAATTTTTCATAAATATGTTATGTATTCAAAAACTGGAGGAGCACTCCGTAGGATGTTTTTTTATCGGTATCTAATCGAAGTGATCTTAAAGCAGATGTTAGAGGCGGATCATCGTAACGCTCTGTCATATCATATCTGTGAAGAGATGTGTATAAGAAGTGTCAATTTTCAAAATGCAGACAGTGACATATGAACCTTTTCATGTTTCTAGCTTGCTCTGTCTCATGCCAGCCTACAGTTCTAGTTAGCTCTGTCTCATGCCATCTTTGGTTATGTTGGGCCCAGGAGTTTGACAAGGAATTCCTCTAGACAACTCCCAAATTAGACTTACCATTAGTTGTACTTTTTTTAGGGTACCCTAAGACCGCAACATAAAAAAAACAACCAATGTATCATGGGCAATTCCTGAAGTATGCACACTTCATATTTACAGGTGTTCGATTCATGAAAGTCTTGAGATAGCACTTCTGTTTTTAGGTGGCGGTATTAGTGAGCCCGATGGAATGATAGTGTCCAAATCGCAAGGAGATTGCAGATTATCTGTCTGAACAAAAAGGTTGCAGATTACCTGCTTGGTCGAAGAGGCTGTATGTTACTTAATTGCGCGAAAAGGTCGATGAAAGAGGATGTATCTTTGTCCTGTACAGGTACATCAGCGGTCAACAAGGTCTGACCAAGCTAACAAGAGAACAGTTAGCGCACTACAAGGGACTGATAAAACTGTGAGTACTACTGTTTCTAAAACTTTGACAAAAATCCGTTCGTTCTCTTGTTTGCTCGTCTTTAATTTATCACATCACTTGGACAAGTAATTGTTAGGTCTCTGGACAGTAAATGTACCCGTTAATGAAGAATGAATCTATTGTATCTTATCATATTGGAAAGGACAGGGTGTCAAATGGACACGTCACTTTCAATTTGTACAGTTACCTCTATTATTGCAGCTCCAGGACCAAAGTTTATTTTGTGATCGATTTTCAATTTACTTTCCCCAGAAACAAAATGGAGCGAAAAACTTGCCAATCCTTGCATTCAGTGATACTGACAAGATGTCGATCAGTACAATATACTTCTTAGCTTTTCGGGTTTAGCCAGAGATCGACCCCCTTATGTCAATGTGTGCAAAGTCTCCTTTCTTCTTTACTTCTTTATGCACTGAGAAAAGTAATAAAGACGGGATTTTCATCTTATCCACAATTTCAAAAGTGATCCCACAGCGTTTTGGGTCCTCAGCGGGGAATTACAGTATGCCTTTTGAGCCGACCAAAGAATAGAGGACTGAATGCAATCCCTGTTCTATCTTGTTGGTCACTGCTTCAAAATGTAGGGCTTACTGCAAGAAAAGGCATCTTCTACAGGCTACTCAAAACATCATGATAATGGTTTTATTGTGTGCGACTTTGCAAATCAAAAGTCACCCTCCCTTTCTAATATTCCCCAGTGTCATCAAGAACAGCAACATATCTACTATTGAAGATGGCGCCTTCAAGAACAACACTAACCTGACAATGATGTATGTAGACGTTTTAACATTATACCTTATCAGTACATGCTGTGAAAACATGAATTAGGATAGACTTATGGATGCCAAAAGTTTCGGTATTGTGTTGTTTGTTTTGTCTATTTGTTTTGTTTGAATCTTTATCTATTCATGGCTCAAACTGGCCTTCAGGTCGCTTTTCATTGAGGCCATGAAAGAGGAGTGTATATGGGGGCATTGTATTGGCTGGAACCTTTGTAATATGAAAGCTTGACCTGATAAACATGCCAGCACGACCATAACAAACACATAGCCTCAACACGTATTTTAGTTTTACAAATGGCGTATGGGATTCTTATACTTGTAACTGGCATACATATTACAACTTTCAAAGTGAAAAAAACAGCGTCATATATATATTGTATACGCTATGGACATACATTTTCATTATAAGCCAAATGATAATGGTAGTAAGTGTATTAACTAACTGCAAGAAAATTATTTGTATTCACTTTCAGCGACCTGCGGAATAACAAACTGACTGTGCTGCGACGGACCTTGTTCTCAAACCTGAGGCTTGCAGAACTGTGAGTGGGATATATCTATCTATTACCCTTCTTTGGGTCTTTCGGCATTTGAAGTCAAGCCTTTTTTGCACACTAGATGAATTACTGCAACGCTAGACAATATATATATCTGTCAAGCATGAAAAGCATTTCATTTAACTTATCCACCGTTTTCTATATATCAAAGGTTGATAAGCAACAACCCGCTGGCCTGCAACTGCAGCTCTAAGTGGATACAGCTTTGGCAGAGCCAGTCGAGAGCCAGTTTTCATACTGAGAAGATCACCTGCACAAGAAACACGGACGGCAATACACAGACCTTAGACATCAGGGACTTACAGCTGGATTCTAGCTGCCGTAGGTTCAGTGTTTTTACGATACTGTAATTCTAGCAGAAGCTAGGATCAGCTGCCTGCCACACCGCAATACGTTTAAGATTGAAAAGTTCTAAGATTCTTGCCCGTTTCTAGTCATTTCCAACAAGTCTTTTTTCTACACATAAAATTGCCATATGCATGATTCGGAAAGAATTAATGCACAGTAGGTGTCCTACTTCGCGTTTTGCATTCACATTGTGTGGAAGGAAATAGAAAATTAATGCAATTTAAGAATTTGGAACAACCATTTCACTACTCTCAGGTCTACCGACGGCTACGGTGCTAACTCGGGAAGTGACCATTAATAAGACACAAGACGTGGTGGTGACGTGTGAAGCCTCGGGCAGCCCCGAGCCGACCGCCGAGTGGGACACAGCACGGCTCCGCTCCAAGTTCACCGTAGAGATAGACGAGCTGGGCAGACGGCAGGTTCTGACCATTCACAACGCCAGCGAGGACGACAATGGAAACTTGACCTGCATTGCCAAGAACATGGTTGGAATATCCCCAGCAAACTTCAGTTTGAAGATCAACGGTAATTATAGTCATGTTCTATTATGTTATGTTCATTTATTTCATTGAACATCATCTCGCAGGGTATGTCATCATTACTTTGAGATCCAATGTCTTCGTCGTATCATATACTTTTTAATTTTACACATGCAACTTTTCTACTGGCAATTGCAATGAAATGTATCCTCTTCATCTTGGTAATATTCCATGGATACTATTTATTTTCACATCCAAATAACCCCGACCCTTTTTAAGTGCTATAATGATTTCATAAAAGTATAGCAGAATACTTGACTGACATTGATATCAATTCTCTTACAGCTCCTCCTCGGATTCGCAGTCTGGATTATAAGCAACTCTTCCACAAGAGCATCTGCTACGACGTTCACGGGTATCCGTTGCCGAGTCTGCGCTGGTACAAGGGCAGTAAATTGTTCACGACCAGAAACTATCCCGTGTCTATCCAAATGAGTAGGCTGGAGCCTTACGAGAGTGCCGGCTGTCTGAAGTTCGAGGTTACCTCTCACGTCTACAATGGGAACTATACTCTCGTGGCAACCAACACGTATGGACAAACCAGCAGATCCCTCGTGGTCACCTTCATGAGACGTAAGTATAGCTGTATAACGTCGGTGAAGGTTAGACACCCAGGTAATAAGATACGCAAAAAACAGTTACTCAAGCAACTGGTGTCACTGACGAAAGGTAGTGGATGCTACCTGAAACATCTGACCGTTTTCAAAATCATATCCAGTTGCTTGAGTAACTGTTTTTGGTATAGCTGTATAACACTGCTGACAAAGTTGCAATGCACTGTGATGTTCTTTGTCCTGTAATGAACTGACGTCAGAAGCCTTGAAATGTTCAAAAGCCTCTTGGGGGCTAAGTTGTAGATAATATCATACTTTGGCAATTCCGTTTTAGTCTGATTCAGTAAAATGTCCTGTTAATCTTTGCAGCTCCGCCAGATAGGACAATTGCCATCCGGGACCCAACCAGCTCATCCTACAATGGAACACCCGGGCCAACCACAGATGATAACGTACCAGAAAACCAGATAACGACATATACAGTAAGCCCTTTTCACATCTTTCCGTGTATAAGGGCGGTGCTATTCTCACTGTTCTAAGTAGATCTTTCCCACTCTCATTTTATCAATATCCTTTCCTTGGCTATCGAGAAGATACTTAAAATTCCTGTCTCAATGTCACTGGCCGGGGCGTGCGATTAGGTTGCACTCCCTGTGACCTACATGTAGCTAAAAATCATGTTGGGTAGCAAAACAACCCATATGCATATTGTACAGTTTAGTGACACATAACCCGTAATTCTATAACGTTAACATCAAAACTGTACGACGGCCTACATACAATGAACGTGACCGGGCCAATAGACATCTGTCTTGAAGCGTCGTCCTACGAAAACTTGTCTGTGTTTTTTTAGCGAATAGAGACCTACATCGCCGTGGCTGTATCCTCGGTAGTGTTCATCGTGGTGGCCATTGTGCTGTACTGCATGAGGTCGCGGAAGATCAGCCGGAGGGAGTGTAACGTGAACGGCTCTGCCGCGCCCCTGCAGCGCTCCACCAGCGAGTCGAACGGGGAGGTAGTTTCCCGGGACTCCCTGCGGCTCAGCAGACTCCACGTGGTGGAGAATCCAAACTACTTCCGGGACTCTAAAGAACTCGGTGAGATATTCGGGGTTACAGCATCTGGTGGATGCCACTTCTCCATTCCAAGTGCACTATGCATTTTGGTTTACCATAAAAGTTAACTGCCCCTGGCCGTTACTGACCCTATCTCCTACCTAGATGTCTTTAATTTTACCTTCGAGAAACTTGGACCTGTTATTGGTTACTATGACATCTGTTCGGTACTGGTATCTAACGTTTCTAGTCACCCAATGCAAATGAATGCTCCATATGTTCAATACTTCCCGTGCACTCAACATGAAGAGGTTTTAATTAGTAAGCCCTATTATATGTAAAGACGATCTGCTGCTTTTAAAAAATCCATAGTTACTTTCGTACTGGAATCAAACATTACATACCATCTACCAATGGAATTGTCATGATCGTCGATTATTTTTCATCTTGTAAAACTCATCCACAAAATCGTGATTACACGCTAAACCGATGACTCCCGTGCCCTTAGCTGTCTGACCTAATCAGACTGCACGGCAAGTGGTCTGTCTGGGCTTCAGCACTACAGCCTGCAAACAAAAGATAGCTACTGTAATTTCCTGTGATATGGGCCCCTGACAGGTACCCGAAGACCCTAAAAAAATGTGAACGATCTACCAACATGTACCTCCAGTTACCTCCGAGTTGTACACGTTTAATAGGTCTATATCAATATCACAGATCAGTGGACGGATGATGACACCTGCCTTTCTTCTGAGCACACACTCCAATAAGTGCATGTCAGCCAAGTGTTTGTCTGTGCTTCAAATCCAGTCTAGCTTTGTTTCCCACTGGTCATGTCTTGGAGACTGCAAACAATTAAGATAGCTGCAGTAATATCCTATGAGGGTTATTCCAATGGTCTTTGTGATTGTTATGTGGCGCTGCAGCTGAGGTGAATCATAAAAGTGAATCACTGCTTCAGTGATCGCAATAGTGGACACTTTGGAATCTTCTATATCGTCACATTCTCTGAGGAAACCATTGTAGCTACAGTAGTTCTCAACATGGATTAATCTATGTAGACTGGCGTTTCAGAAACAGCAATGAATAAAAAATATGTATATAAATCAATACAGCCAGTCAGTCAGTAGATGATACAAGGAAATGACGACATCTGTCCTTCTCCAGTGTATACACTCTGTAACAACTGTACTGCGTGTTATTTCATACGAGCAAAGACTCTTTAACGTGATGAAAATCGATATCTGTCGTTATCCTGTAGTCATCCGCCACATCCAGCGCGACACCATCCACTTCGTGGGCGAGCTTGGCGAGGGCGCCTTCGGCAGAGTGTACCTCGGCAAATGTGAGAAGCTCAACGCCGACGAAGATTCATCTCTGGTCGCGGTGAAGACGCTGAAGGACATGGGGGTGGAGGATGCGCGGAAGGATTTCGATCGGGAAGCGGAGCTACTGACCAACATGCAGCATGAGAACATCGTCAAGTTCTACGGAGTCTGCACGGAGGGAGAGCCCTGGCTCATGATCTTTGAGTACATGGAAAACGGCGACCTCAACAACTACCTGAGGTTGGTTATAACCTATATATGGTTGTGAAACACTTTGATAGATTTTATAATGAACAGTCTACCTGACAACGATATGGTCTGATACGTTCTATTACAAACTACAATACAAATAACTGTCACATTATTTTCGTTACTCCTGATTCAAGAAAGTGTTGGATGGTCTAATCTACAGCGTGGTCCCAGGACGACCTGCTGCACACTACTTGCTCAATGTTATGTGGCGTTAGATACACATCTTTTTGTCCATACATTTGTAGAATATTTTGAATTGACTTAAAAAATTTGGATGGACTTTAGCCTAACGCTAATATCGATTTATTAGGCTGTACACAACTAAAATACAATCTTGTTTTTGATCGCCAACATATCGGTAAAGATGACCTGACAGGAAGTGATGAGACCACTCCAACCGCATCCGGGCACGTCGATCTGTATGGGTTAACATCAAAGGGTCTGCCAGTGACGTTTCACTATTTGCATAATCATGTCTTATCGTCGTTTGATCTTATTAAGGTCTACACGACGAAAGCAGGAAAGCGAATAAATCCTAATCAGAACACTCGAGCCGCCAATTTGGGAGTTTTGGAAGACATGATGAACTTATCTCCGTCCCTACGCGGACATAGTCTGAATAATAACACTTCTTTCCTGCACAATTTTACCCAGAAGTCCGACAGCTATAAGCCTCAGGGAAGACACATTAAAACCGATACTGCTGAGACTTTGTAATGGAATTAGGCAACACTTTCGTCCAATCGTCCTTCCAAAAAAACTAACCTACAGAAATTTCATTGTGAAGAAAATATATCGAGTAGGTCAGTTAATAGTAGATAAAAACTAAGAGAATCACCCACAGTATGGTCAAATTATAAGAGGTGCTGGCAGAACCTGGAATACATAGTTTGACCTTCAGTCTCCAGAAAAGGTTTATGAAAGCACACATCAACAAGAGGTGAGCCTCACAAATTCAAGCACTGGCTCCTGTAAGCATCTCATTATTTGTTGTCTTCACTGAACTGTTCAACCCTTTGTCTGTGGCATTCAGATCTCACGGTCCGGACGCAGCTTTCCTCATCAAGAACCCGGCCACTCACAAGGAGCTGAGCGTGGTGGATCTGCTGCAGATCTCCGTGCAGGTCGCCGCCGGGGTGGAGTACATGGCGTCGCAGCACTTCGTGCACCGGGACCTGGCCACCCGTAACTGCCTGGTGGGGGAGAACCTCGTGGTGAAGATCGGGGACTTCGGCATGTCCCGCGACATCTACAGCACCGACTACTACAGAGTGAGTCGGAGAGGTTTTCTAACACAGATCTAGCAGGAGATTCTAGATTTTTTTCAGTAACTCTGACTCATTTTCAGTTACTGAAGAAAGACAGTAGATGCTATCAGAAACGATTCAGAGAATGCATTCATTTGTTTGATTTATTTTGAAACTGAAAAAGTAATGTTCTACTTGGATGTCTAACCATCATGATATAGTTCCAAGCTAATTCTACTGTTATTCACGTATGTATCATATGAGTTGTGGCGGATATACCTAGTATGTATTTCGACTCTATCTGTAAGCAATCATGATACACATTTCAGGTTGGGGGACACACCATGCTGCCCGTACGATGGATGCCACCGGAAAGCGTGCTCTACCGGAAGTTCACCATCGAAAGTGACATCTGGAGCTTCGGCGTTGTATTATGGGAAATCTTTACGTTTGGGAAGCAGCCATGGTATGAGCTGGCCAATCACGAGGTAGGGAGTCAATTTTTGATACACTGTCTCTAGCAATAACTTCACCAGTTTACCATGTCCAAAAATTGACTGTGTTTCTAAGGTCATATTTCCAAACCGGGGACCAGACGTGGGCAGTTTGCGAATTTAAAACGAAAGTATGATATGAAAGACAACAAAGCACTATTTACGTATATTCTTGATATAAATGGTTTCTTTTCGTCAAAGGAAACATCCCGACCGGGCTCTGGTTTCGAATTGTGACTTCAGCATTACATAGTATATTCTCTTCCATTTATATAGCCAAAGGTCCGGCGTCACCTGTAAGTCAAATCCGACATTTGTAAACCGACATTCGCCTTTTCCACCGGCAGGTGATCGAGTGCATCACCAGCGGCAGACTGCTGGCGTGCCCGCGAGGCTGTCCTCGGAACGTGCGGGCCCTCATGCTCGGCTGCTGGAAGAAAACCCCCGTCCAGCGCACCAACATCCAGGACATCCACAAGAAGCTCAAGGAAATGTTGGAGAACCGCCACCAAGTTCAGGTTGACATTGTCGCCTAAGAAAGAAAGTGCCTGGGAGAAAAGAGCAGGGGAAATGAAAACGTTTCAGCGATGTAGTTTACCAATGAGTGCCATCGGTTGTATAAGATAGCCTTCTGAGCTATCTCAGAACAATGCGGACAAGCTTGACTATCATCCACACGCTACAGTACAGATGGAGTATCAATATGAATTCGGACTTGGTCGAATTAGAGATGAGCCAATGCCCTTCGTGTATATATGTCTGACTTAATTACTGATAACTTTAACGTTGGTTTTGTACCACATAGAGCTGCCTTAAGCTGACATCTGTAGTGTAAATCCGTACCTGCTTCACATGAGCTGAGATCATGTGAACAGTCAGACGAAGGTAATGTTGTAACTCTAGTATATGTCCGTTGCAGGGCACTAGAACAATGCTCATATTGTGTACAGTACTATTACAAGAACGGACATTGTAAAAAGGCGATCAAAGGAACAATGACGTTATGAACATCTGAACCTGTGAGAAGACAAAGGTTTTGACCACGACTGAAAAAAAAAGAGTCCAAAGGTTTTTTTATGGCGGTGACATGATTTGTACATGACAATGCCAACGTTTTAAAACTTTTCTACGAACAATTTCTGGACCGAACGGTCAAAGTAATGAAGGTAAATACCGTGAAAATGGTAAATAGCATGTTGTGCTTATAGTAACTTGGGCCGCAAGGCTGAGATACCTGCTGGATGCGTTGGAAGGCAGTCCATCATATCGGAGATAACCTTACTTATCCACCTGTTTGTTATCTAATTGACAGGCAAGTGTTGGAAAATGAGAGAACTATGAAAGAGTAAGAACTATATCATCGTGGCTTATCGGACTACAAACAACTAAGTAACATTAATATTGTGATAGGTTAGTTGTATGGACGTCCGTGATGTGTTTTTGTACATAGCTCGAAGAATGTTAATAATATATATCGAGTAGTCGAATAGTAGAGATATTTTTAAGTGATGGAAGCATGTTACAACTGTATCCAATGCTTACACAATGCTTACACAGAGGCTTCCTGAACCGCTTTAAAGTGTGATGATGTAAAAACACAACATATAACAACAATGTTTGTAACAGCATTCTTGCTGCTCTACTTAGATATTTCAGTATTAACGTAACAGATCCTTGGAATGTATCAGAGATGTCATGTTGATCCGTCTTAGTCGCTGACAAGTTTGAGTGAAGCAGTACGTGACTGTGATCCATATATTGTTCTCTTAAATGCTGAAGTGTACATAGAGTACATATCAGAATACTGACACTGTACGGCACGTAACAATTGTGCAAAGTCAGGCAGTGTTCATGTCAGCTATGGTATGTGCTACGGTGTCATTGTACTTATTGCACTGAGTCGGACGTTCAGAATTTGACTCTTGCTTGAAAAGAAAACAGGTCTCAAACGACTTGCTCTACGTTCGTTGATGTGTAAATTTAGGATAGGCACTGATGGCGTATTGTTTGATGTGTTGACCTATGATGTAGACGCGAAGTTGTACTTTATATATGTAGTGTAAGGCTGAATACTAGTATCTTTGGGCGGAGACGTTGTTAAATAAAGTACATTATCAACTGTATTCTTTTACTATCGTGTCGTTAGGGTGTTCAAGAGACCCACCTAGCTTTAATTGACAGTGGCGTCGACTTCATAACCTCAAATGTACAGCGTGGATGAAGGCTAACGTTATAACTCATCAACATAGCTCAGATTAAACGTATTTACCATCTGTATCTGTGTATAGCCGGTATAACCGCCTTTCGGCGTAACACACCAGCTTCGCAGGCACGCGGCGCGGCGGCAGCTGGCTATATTACACCGATCGACTTGTTACACCTAACCCTTGAACTTCTAGCTCTAGACATTGTTTAAAGCTATCTATTGACAATGCCCCTACTGTACTTGGTGACAGTGAGTTCCACTCTGCGATAGTTCTAGGAAAGAATGAATTCTTGAACACCTCAATCCTTGGTTGATAACTCTGGTACTTGAATGCGTGGCTATTTCTTGTTCTCTTCTGGGCTGGTATTAGGTACTTAGTAGTTGGGACATCCACCAGTTTATTAGTCATTTTGTACATCATGCATAGTCTAGACATCTTTCTTCTGTCTTCCAGTGAGGTCCACTGTAGGTTTCTTTTCATTTCCGTGACACTAGCACCTCTTATATAGTTGTTCATACAGAATCTTGCAGCTTGATTCTGTACATCCAGTCGTATCTAGGAGGAGACACAGCAGTAGTTGTATATTACCTACAAGGTCAAGGTTAGCAGCACCAGCTGCTAGAAAGATTGTATTTCCAGATACATATCCCAGACACTGACACCACATGTGCGCGTGACAGAACTTCCACCACACAGAATTAGAAAGCCCTCTAAACTTAACAACATGAGTGGATGGTTTAAAAGAGCACGGATTTGTCATAGAAAGACAGATGGTGGGCTTAGAGACGACCCGTGATGTTCGTTCTGCTGCTACCGGAATGCTGATCGATGTAGTGAGGGGATTAGAGTCGCGATCGGTGCCGCCTGCTTCCTGATGTAATCAATAGAACGTCATGGTTGGCTCATCTCCAAGCAGATGTTTGGGTGCCATGGGAAGTAGTAATATCTCGGACTGCTGTGCTTCTGTGGCAGCCACCCAACCAGACAGGAAACAGTACAGTCTACTGCACGCTACCCGGCGCTTCACAGTGTGTATAATTATATATATTGCTGTTGCAATCTGAATTGTCATCACCTTCCTTCAGTCTTGTCAGATTAGTGTATTATGTAAATGTATCAGGCATGTTCAAGACCCAAATTACCACCTGTGTTTTAACGCAACAAATCACTATCAGAAATCATGAACATCATCATCAACATCAACATTATAATCATCCACATCATCATCTTTTTGGAAACCCATATCGGCATTATCATAATCGTCATGAAGCCAGGTCTATATTATCCAAGAACACTGAATATCAAGTCACAAACGGACGCAACAACATGTGTTGCGCTTGGTCAGTGCATTTGAACAGGACAACAAAAGTGGTGCTTCCACAGCATGCTAGAAGCCACTCCCAATCACACAAACATTAATGTAACAAAGTATCTGCATGTAAAAGCTAACATATTTTACAAATGACACTAATTTTCCTATAACATCATTATGAATTCTACCGCTGACCTTGCCAATACTCTGCAGCTCATTTCAGCATGATCATTGATGTAATAAATCATCTGTAGTTATTGCATCTGTAGAGAAGTCTAAACTAATATTACTGATGCAGCCTTATTGCTCACCCTCAAGGTAAAGTGTTCGCAGCATAATGAGATTATCAGTCCTGTCACGTTGTCTACACGGCTGCCTGGTGCTGACGGATTTGGTTTCTCAAGTCTCTTGTAAACTGGCTTCAATCCAAGGTCATGTGACAGGGGCAATTGTCATCCAGACAGAGTCAGAGAAAAATCATGATAATGTTTCTTAGCATATGACCAAGGCTGACTTTCATCTTTTATATTAGTCACGAAACGCTACTGCACTGCACGAAAAGCCAGATTTCCGCAAGAAACCTGAAGTGTCCTTGCCGTGTACATGGATATTCCCACAGGTGTTTTATCCGTTGTGTCCAACGTCGGAAACCCGTGCACACAATGGGACCAGCGAAGTGTACAAGGTTCCCCACTGTTGGAAACGCCCCGAGTCCTGACTAATTATCGTCACAATGGAAAGCTAAGAGGTGGAAGTGGCAGTATCCATCATAAGAAAATATGGTATACACGGCAATCTATACACGCAGTTTTCTTGTGTTTGTTTGCATGTATTTATTCCAACACTCGCATAACTACATTAATGGCTAGGATTACATTGATGTAAGAAATATTATTTTTATGCATGGATGAATACCTGCGATGATTGTAGTACACACATTGGTTGGTAGAAGGCGCTTTAGATCAAGCTAACTTCCGGGTTGTAAGTTTCGATTCATTGAGAGAACACTGCGTAAGTCAAGGACTCGACAGGCGTAGCAGGAAATAACTTCGGTTTATCTTGACTTCTCAAATATAGACTGTCTACAGAGCCAGTCTATCTGAGACCAGGACACACAGATTCACTAACATCGACATAGTTACCGTTGGTTCTCTGCTTCGAGTTTATTTCCGGGTTCCAGAGAGAAATGCCGCTTTCTCAGACCTCCCGTAGAGCCTTACTGGGAACACCCATCGTCCTGGGCATCGCCGTGTCGTGGGTCGGGTCCACCCAGTTCGCCCAGAGCACGTTCTCCGCCACGTTTGACGGGCCCTTCTTCAACATGTGGTTCTCCACCGTTTGGATGATGGCGTGCTTCCCGGTGTACACTGCGGCATGTGTTCTTCTGAAGGGGCAGTCGTGTGGTCAAGTCTACAGGTGATCATGAGTTTTGTCATTTACCTGCGTTCTATTACAGAGGTTTGTGTACATTTCAATATAAGAAGGTGCTAGTGGTTGTTAAATCGTGCTAAATACATGTTTGTGACCTTACAATCACACTCCCACGAGCAAAATTGTACATGTACACGAGAGTCTGCACTTCTTTTCCAGTACGGTTACGGCCGTAGGCTGCCAACTATAAGCGTTCTCTGTCGCATCAAGTCCATGTAGCATATTATTTTGTTAGGCCACACGAAGTAAATTTTATGGATGACGTCCGCGCGCGCATTGATTTTGGCCTCTTCCTAGAAAAAAAACCCAAGAAGTTTCGCTTCTTGTAACTATGACCAAAGAGTCACGACAATGCCGCAAATCGTCAGATTGACGTGAAACCCGAAAGGCGAAGAAAGTGTCTATTGACAGGACCATCCTGTCAATAACAGAAAATTTGCACTATTGACAAGACCATCCTGTCAATAACAGAAAATTTTTCACTGTCCACTTTTCCACCTGATTTATTGCTGTTTTGATGATGAATAAAAGACTTCTTGCTTGTTACACTGTGTCACCTCATTCAATTTGTGTCCTAACATTTGTCGTCCCTAAGTATATTTCTAATCTAGGTATCTTGTTTTTTAGGGCCCTTCTTGTTTTTTTTTTCGCCCTCTCGCATTAGATTTAGGGTCTCCAAAGGACGTCATCCATAAAATTTACTTGGTGTGGCCTTATCCAGAATTCATCGTTGAGCGTTATTGACAAATCTCCCATATCGCATAGTCAAACGCAAGGTTACCCCAACGTCTGGTTGTGCGTTGGTGTTAGCAGACTAGTTTTAACCGATTAAGATACCAAAATCTAGTTTATTTTTCATAGCAATCTGCATGAAGTTTTCTCCAACCGTGTAATGTAGAAACTTTGATCAGGTTGGGGTTATTCCGTCGTCATTAGCGCACAGGACAATCCAGGTTTTGTCACATTGAAGTTCACACTTCTCAAACATCGAACAACTCGCGGTGTCGCTTTGTAACGTGTTCTGATTGATTACCTCTAATGTGTACCAGACATCCAGGTGGGTTACCTGACGGGTTGGAGAGGTCATTTCGGGCATGACATGTATCTTTATTGGATGTGAACATGGTATCATTTTCATGATTTTGACACGTCTTCGTTCTTTTGCTCCTCCCCAGAGAAAATGAGTCCATTTTCGGAGCGGACGGCCTGACATTGCGGACACTCCTGGTGAAAGCTGGCGTTTTTCTCCTCCTCTGGGCAGGAACGAACTACCTGTACATCCGGGCACTCAAAGAAATCCCCGCTACTGACGTCACAGCGCTATTCTCCAGCTGTAACGCCTTCGTCTATGTCTTTTCTATTCTACTGTTGAGGGAGAGACTATATATCGGACGGGTAAATCGCCTTGCGTTGTTAATCATCATAAACCAAGGGATTGTTGGTCGTAAATGATGCCACAGGGATTACAAATAGCAATAACTCATGGAAAAACTATACATTTTACATAAACTCCAAATGTTATCTTCTTCTCTTCCATGCATGGACACCTGATTTTTTCTGTTACTCAAAGTTGTAGAAATTGCTTTATATCATTACTCGTACCTAAATTCAAGAGCAAAGCTAGTTGCATAGTAGCTGACCATAAAGCACAATTACTGAAACATTGTTCTCTAACCTCAGGACTCAGAAATACGTTTCTCCCTCCCCAGATCTTATCAGTACTGATGGCTATGGGAGGAATCGTGCTCATCGCCAACGCCAGCGGGTTCAAGGGACCCTCCTTGCTAGGTGTGGTTCTCTCTGTGGGTGCGGCCATTGGAGCGGCTCTGTACAAGGTAACTTCTGATTTGTTGCATATCAAAAACACACACACACATGCAGGTTGGTTCGTAAATATACATGGCTTTTATTATGTATATGTTTTACTATTTTAATTGCAACGTGATTATTTCCATCCACCAAAGGAGTCTGCTGCCGGTGCGTGGTGACTATTGACAATTTTCCCGACAGGTTCTGTTCAAGCGTGTGTTTGGAGATGCGAGTGTTGGACAGGTGTCCCTGTTCCTGTCATGTCTGGGGATGGTAGACCTGCTGGGACTCTGGCCCGTCATGCTAAGTCTGTACTACGGACAAGTGGAGACTATGGACTGGTACCACCTCCCGTTTCTACATTGCTGCCTACCGTATGCATAGTACATGGCTGTACTATGAACCGGTTAACTTACGAGAAGATGTTGTGTGTGTGTGTGGGGGGGGGGGGATAGATCGTAACGTTTCCTGATTCCCTGCTTTCTTTAACAGTATCTCCCTCTATGACTGTCAAAGAGCCAGGCACTGAGAAAAAGATACGATCTGATTCCGTTAAGTCTGCTGCAGCTAGTGGGGGCAAGGATGAAGATCAGGGAAGGCTACGAGTGGGGGCAAGGATGAAGATCAGGGAGGGCTACGAGTGGGGGCAATGGTGAAGATCAGGGAGGGCTACGAGTAGGGGCAACTAGGGATGAAGATCAGGAAGGGGTACGAGTAGCTGGGAGACCATGGACTGGTACTGACACTTAAGTACCGTGGTCCTATATGTGCTAAGGGGCAGCGTTTGGACTGCATATATCTTTTCGGGTCAGGTGGACTGGTAGCACCTACTGGTTTACTGTCTGTAACCTGTTTCGCAACTGTTGTGCTAAAACGTTTACTACTTAGGACAACTCCAAATGCCAGTAGGATAGACCTATATATATATTAACCAGTTTTACTTGGTTCAAAACTGCCCACAGCTTTCAACTTCTTCATCAACTTCGGGATCGCCTTCACCTTTCCGCTCTTCATCTCCCTGGGCACCGTGCTGGGAATCCCACTGAACGCAGGTAAGAGACCACAGAACACAGGTGAGAGACGAATGAAAACAGGTCACGTAAGTTGTGGAAAAATTGACGAGAAAACGTCTGCTCCAAAGGAATAGCGTCACTGCTCATTTGACCCCGGATCGCCGTTGATAGATCTATTGATACTAGTAATCAATAAATGGATTGACCAAATAGTCAGTGGCCGATGTTTAAGTTGGCTTCAACCCCGTGTTTATCCCGTCCATGTCAGGCGTGGACGCCGTGTTCCGTGGCGTGGCGTTCGGCCCGCTGAAGGCAGGGGGCGCCGCCATGGTGGTCGGCGGGTTCCTCCTGATGTTGGCCCCTGAGGAAGCTCATCGCAGGGTCTGTGACGTCATGTGCTGTGTGGAGCCAACCCAGGGAGCAGACGAGACAGAGCGGCTTCTGCCAGGGAGACCAAGTGTCGGCACTTCAGTACAGAAGATGCCATGACTATTCAGAGATTTCTCAAGTTTAGACTTATCATGTAGAACGGGGTGGACGACTTCACATTCAATCAGAGCCTTAATTATGTATAGATACTTCGCCATGATAATCTATCTTTGTGGTCATACCACCTTAAGGAACCAAGCACACAGTCAGTCAACAAAATCCATCATTGAACCACGTTAAACAATTTTATTTGCAATTTATCACAACTTATATCCACATACATGTATGTACAGAACATTCATCACTTTAAAGGTTCGATAACGTAAATGAGTGCTAATATGCATATGCCTCAATTCTACTTAAGATATCTGTGATGTAACCAATTGATGAGATATAAGACTATACGGGAAGCAGTCAGTGATTCCAGCCTTAGACAGATCAATCTCTCAAGTCCATTTTATGGACGACTAATGTTCACCAATTCTTTAAAAAGTAGCATTTTATTCATCTTACAGATTGTTCTTGTAGAAACTTCAGAAAGCTGATTTCTACATTACATTAATAAGAAAGTGTACTAGGTAAGATGAGTTATGACTATTTACGTGCTAAAACATTTCTGAAACAAGAGTTCCACGATCTCATACCTTCGCCAAATGATGTCAACCCTTCTGGTTGACAAATTATACAATCTTCAAAAAATAGAGCCTCATTTGCATGGATCATATCAGTTGATTATATTCTCCACCCAATGACAGCCTTATCTTAACAAAAAAGGCTATTCTAGCAATTCCTATAAATTATGCAAATGAGGTGATGATTTGAATAAATTATGTTTATTGATGTTCACCTTCACTTAACTTCCAAATGTGGCAAGTATGAAATTCCCAGCAGTTACAAGTATGAAATTATAACAATTTGCCATTAATTATGCAAATTAGGTCTTCATTTACATAATCTATATCCTCTTATGTTTTATTCGTTCCCAATTACATGTCACATGTGTTTTATTGTTTTATTATTGAACAAATTAGATTTAAAGACTTTCCTCATTAATCATGCAAATTAGCTCCTGATTTGCATACATACCATTTAATTATGTCAAGCATCACTTTAGCTACTTACACACCAAAAATCACGACAATCCGTCAACCCATTCTCGAGTTATTCTCCTTCGAAATTTTTTCAACTAACGCTCCTGTAGTTCCAGAACAAGTCGCTAGGGGGCCCAAACTCATGTCACTTCTTTCCTAGCTCAAGAGCTATTTACCACCCAAACTTCGTGACCCTAGCATGTCCAGATCACGAGATATCAAAACCGGAAGTTCTGCTGCAGTACCTAGGAAAGCCGCCAGGATGCCCAAAATCTAATCATTTCTAGGTCTCATGAAGACTTACCCACCTACCAA